GGCGCCGTGGGGCGGGGCCGGCGGCTCCTCTCCTCGGGGCTCGGTCTCCAGCCCCCGGCCCCCCGCCCGCAGGCCCTGCCCAGAGACGGCCTGCTGGATCCCGGCTCTCTTCCACCCTCGAGGTCCAGAGGAGGACGGCGGGCCTGGAGGGCGTGGGCACGGGGGCCGGGATGCCCCGTCGGAGAATCGCAGGCCCCGGAGCTGCAGAGGGCAGCGCAGCGCGCCACGCTCCTGCCGCTCGTCCGAGGGAGTCACCGCAGCCTTCCTAACCGAGGATCAGCGGCAGGCAAAGTTGGGTGCTCTCCGCCCGTTTTGTCTCCCCTGAGCTAGGACCCTGGAGGGAGGCGGGAGACGGAGGGTCCACGGGCAGATTTGCGCCCTGGAAAAGCCTCTGCCTCTGGGAAGGCAATGGAGTGGGGAGACCTGGACCGAAGCAGGGCGCCACCGAAGGGTCTAACGAGATCGAGTGGCCTGAACAGGTTGAAGACCCTGGACTAGGCCGTGGGAGCTGGAAGGAAGAGGGATTTCGGAGGGGGAACCAGTCCTGGTGGGGAGGGGCTGGAGAGGGGAGTGGGTGGTGCTTTGAGTGGAGTCAGTAGGTGGGGATAACATGGGGCGGGGGCAGCGTTGCCGTTGAATTAGATGGGGGAGTTCTAGGGGAGAAATTGGTTGACATCATCTGGAAGGCTTTGGACACTCAGGTCTTAGTGCCCTGGGCACCAGTAAGAATCAGGAGAGAAGTGCAAATGTCTCTCTTCCTCCTGGCTTGGTCAGGGCCACCCGATGCTGGTTTTCACACCAGTAGAGGGGAAAAAAATCAGGCCCCATGGCAGGTGCGGAGGAGCTAAGTGCCTTTATAGGGGTTTGCCCAGGACCCCTAGAACTGCCGCCTTGGTAACTTGTTGCAGCTGCACCCTCAGAATGCCAGGGTGAGCCTGCTGCTCCTGCTTGCTGAGTGGGTAACCCGGACTCAGGAGCACTGCCTAGGGGGTGACAGGCCGTGACTCAGGCTGGGCTCTGGTCCTGCCTCTGTCTCTTCTCTCCCTGCAGGCAGGACTCTGCTATCACTTTTGGGACTTTATGGTGAAACGCTCGCTGAGGCCCCTCCCAGCCCTAAGAGTCTGGTTCTGAGTTATGAGCCCCAAAGTCTGGGGAAAGCATACGTGCATGTTGTGTATTTCCAGGGCAGAGAGAGTTGGGACCCAGTCCCAGGAACCTCTCCTGTGCCCCTGCCAGCCTCCACTGTAACCAAAGCTGCCAGGAAGCCCACAATCACCCTGACCCAGCACTGTGCCCTGAGAAGTAGAGGCAGAGGCAGGCAGGCTGCCTTTGTGCATTCCAGTCTCACCAGCCTCCATATTAATGCTGCTGTCACTGCCAGACAGGGCAAGCAAGTGAGGGAGAGAGCGTTAAGACCAGGGCCTAGCCCTGGCATCTCTCCAGGACCTGCTGACTGGCAGGTATGAGGTGCAGAGCAGCCAGCCAGGTCTGCTTTGGCCTCCTGGATGCCTAGAGCCCCTGGCTCAGCTCTGGGCAACTGCAGTGGCAGGGGTTGCTGGGTCTTCAAAATACCCAGCAACAGGAGCTGGGGAGGACAGGTTGAGTCCCAACCCCAGCCTCAGATGTGAGTCTTGACCCCAGCCCTGGGCTGCATCCTAGTCTCAGTTCCCAAAGTAGACCCTGCCCCCCAGAGTCCCACACAGGCCAGAGTGTGGCTGTCCAGGTCAGCCTGTGACCGACGATTTCACAGGGAAATAGTATCCTTCATGTACAAAGGAGGGCCCTTCACATACCACATCATAGCATGGGGGACTGGGGAGAAGGGAGAAATCAAGCCAGCCTTAAGTTGTTGACTTTGCCCATGCCCAGTGCCACTGTCTTGGGGATGCAGCTAAGTCAGGAGGTAGTGAGCGCCCAGCAACCAGAGGCAAAGATTTCTCATTTCACATGCAGATTTCTGCAGAACAGAGGGTTGGCCTGGGTGATCTGGATTGCTCTTCACTGGGGGAGCACATGTCCCAAAGACTCCTCTGGGAAGTGACCATTTTGGTGACAGAACCAAAGGTCATTGTGCATCCTGAGTGGTCAGCTGGGCCCTAAGCACAGACACAGGCCCAAGGTCCTCTGGTTTCCAGGATGTGGGGCTATTCTTGAAGGATCTTATTATTAAAGGCACCGTTGTCTGTTATTACAGATGTGACAGGAAGCATTGGAAAAGGTAGCTGTTCTGGATAAAATTGATTTTACAACTCCCTTTAGTGTTTTTGCAAATAGGTAACTGGGGAATAAACTGGGAAGAGCCTAAACTTCCCTATTAGATTAAATCCAACTGCAAACAAACACTGAGTCTTTTTCACTAATTAGAGAAGCAGAGATGAGAGGCCCCTGGGATGGGAGTGGGTCCCAGGGCTGCAGGCCAGCCCAAGCCCAAATTAAAGCTAGGCATGGGAGAGAAGCATCTGGGACAGTCTGTGTGTCCCTGGACTGGTAGGGACAGGTTGGCAAATAAGTTCATGAAAGTGTTGCAGGTGTGCAGAAGACCACTATGTGGCCTTGAGCAGCCCGGAGTGAGGCATGGGCCTCTGTGCCTTGTGTCCCACCCATGACCCACCTCTAATGTCAGTTGCAGTGGCAGCAGACATTTCCAGGCCAGCTCAGACATACCTCTTGCAAAGCCTAACACATGGCACCAAATAGGTACATGGCACCACAGAGTCTCACACAGTCACAGACATGCATCTTCACCATTTCACACACATTCTCTTTCTCATTCTTCACTACTCAAATATCAGCTGGAAAACAGGACTTAAGGGGATGGGGTGAGTCTTTGCATCTCTAAGGGACTGTTCTTGGTTAGGTCACGTAGACAGGGAGTTCGCTCAGGTAGAGCTGGGATCGTCGTGGAGATTCCTGGGAGGTACAGTGGGGCAGCTGAGGGCATGGAAACTCAGGAGGGTCCTGAAGGTGCCCCACTTTTGCCCTGTGGCACTGGGGACAGGACCCCAGGCCAGACACCCCTTCCCCACCCTACTCCACTCCACCTCAGGACAGAGGAGGTGGCCTGGTGTTTCCATGTCGAACCATGGGACTAGGCTTTGGGGCCAGAAAGGGCCCTCAGTGACCATCCAATTCCACATTCCCATATTACAGATAGGCAACAACAATTTCTTCTCCCATCCCTCCCATGCCATCTCCATCTCTGTGGCCCTGTCTTCTCCTTCTAGCAGATGAGCTGATGTTTTACAGTTAAAATCTCATCTCTCAACTGGGAGTGGTGGCTCATGCCTGTAATCCTAGCACTTTGGGAGGCAGAGGCGAGAGGATTGCCTGAGTCCAGGGGTCCGAGACCTGCTTGGGCAACATGGCAAGACCTCATCTCTACAATAAAAAATTTTTTTAAAAATTAGCTGGGTGGGTGGCGCATGCCTGTAGTTCCAGCAACTTGGAAGGCTGAGGCGGAAGGATCGCCTGAGACCAGCAGTTCGAGGCTGCGGTGGTCGTGAGCATGCCACTGCACTCCTGCCTGGGCACAGAGTGAGACTACTACTCAAAAAAAGAAAAAAAGATTTTATGACTCTTCTTCTGAAGAGCGCCCCCATCCCCTACCCTGCATTGTCTTTGAGATGGAGCCATGGAGTCCAACTCTTCGGCATTGCAAATAAAGTTCTTGGTCATCCATCCCCCATCCTTGCCCCCCTGCTCCATTTGAGAGGCCCTCCATAACAACGCAGCACTCCCTGGAGCCACTCTCTGCCTCTGCACTTCACTCAGGCTGTTCCTGCAGCTGAAGAGGCCCTCCCAGCTCTACACGCATTCATCATATACACAGCTGAGCACTCACCTCCTTGATGCCTGTGTCACACCAAGGTTGCTGTTTTTCCATTGTCTCGCTGGCGACTCGGCGACTCCCCATGTGCAAGGCCTTGTTCACTAACCCATCCCCAACACCCATCAGAATGCTCCAGGCTTGGACTCAGCGAGTCACCATGAAAGAGCAAATGCCTCTGCAGCAGAGCTGAGGAGAGCTCAGGTCCCCGTCTCCCAGGCCAAGACTCTATGCCCATTTGACCACCCTGATATATGCCTGTGTGTGTGTGTGTGTGTGTGTGTGTGTGTGTGTGTGTGGCGTGCGCACACTGGATTGGGGAGTTACTTCAAGGGATCTTTGAATCCATTCAGATTCTTATATTGTCTATGGACAGGAAAAATAACATGCCTCAAATAGACATCCTATTATTTTTCAAATATATGCAGATGCCTCTGTGATGAATAAAATCAAAATAATTCATTTAAAGTCCATCTGAAGTCATAATCGTTGTCGTGATTATGTGTGTTTTTCCTTTATTTGGACCTCAGGGGCACACAGTGGAATGATCACAGTCTTTGATTCATGACTCTTTGCCGTCATTAGCCCACGCGTGGCCTAACTTTATTTTATTCTTGTCTTTTATAGAAGTTTGTATGTAATAGTAAATATAATAAACCTACCACCCAATTGGAAACCAGACCATTACCAGTCACTTACATATTTATTTCTGTACTCCTTACCCAGAGGGAACATGCCCTTGAATAATGCGTTTGTCATTCTCTCGCTTGATTTTTCGGTGTTCTCACGTGTATATATGCCTAAACAGTAGAGTGTTTGGTTTTTCTTGGTTTTGAACTTGATGCTAGTCATCATGCATTTTCCCAATCAGTGGACACTAAAAAAAAGTCACTATCATGTGGGGACCTGAGAAGCGATTTCTGAAGCCCGAGGGGCTCCCTAACAGCCCCCAAGCCCACCTCTGGGGCATGGTTAATGAAGGGTGGTACGTCCCCAGATGACTGCTAGGCAGCATCACAGGCGATGTGGTGGATGAATATTTAATGTCACGGGATGTGTTCACTCTGAATTATATCAGAAAAAGGCATGTGGCAAAACTATGCACACAGAAGTATCCCAGTTTTACCAAAAAGAATAGGCCAGGATCAGTGGCTCATGCCTATAATTCCAGCACTTTGGGAGGCTGAGGCAGGAGGATTGCTTAAGCCTAGGAGTTGGAGACCAACCTAGGCAACATGGCGAGAACTTGTATCTAAAAAAAAAAAAAGAATTATAATAAACTAAAATAAAAATGTAATAAAAAGCCATGAGGTTCTATGGATTCATAAAAGCCTGGTGGATCTAAGATGATAAAAATTCCTGGGTTGTAGAATAAGCTCTTATTGTTTTCTTTGATTTGAAGATTTTTCTCCTAATTTTTTATAAATCATATGGATCCCTTTTATAAAAGGTGACCCACCTGGGCAGCGAGACCTCATCTCTACAATCAATCAAAAAATCAGCCAGGCGTGGTAGCGCGCACCTGTAATTCCGGCTGCTCAGAAGGCTGAGGCAGAAGGATCGCCGGAGCCCAGCAGGTCGAGGCTGCGTTGGCCGGGAGCGGCCACTGCACTCCAGTCTGGGTGACAGAGTGAGACTCCAACTCAAAAAAAAAATAAAAAGGTGGATGACACTAGAAGTTGAGAAGGGAGGGCTTTGTGTTTGGAGAAGCTGGGACCCTATCCTAGATTCAGAGGCAGGGAGGAGGTGGTTCTACCCATCAAGGGAAACAGGGAGGCATCTGTGCCACCTGCTGGAGGGGCGGGGAGAGGAGGGCCTGGAGAAGGTAATGGGTCTGCTGACAAGCCAGAGTCACCTCTGAGGGCAGGCAGTCCAGTGAGGGGAAGGGTGAGTCTTCCTGAGGAAGTGCCTTCTCTTCTGTCTGATGGCTGGCTTGGCCTGCGCTGGGTGTCTCTATGGTCTCTCTCGTTCAGCCCTCACTGTAAGCCCCCAAGGTAGACTGAGAACCACTTAACAGGCGAGGAAACAGGCTAAGATGCTGTTATAGGCTGAATTGTGTCCCTCCAAAGCTCATATGTTGAGGTACTAACCCCCAATACCTCAGAATGTGGCCTTGTTTGGATTTAGGGTCTTTAAAGAGATGATTACAATAAAAAGTTAGGTGATTGGATTAAGGTAATCCAATATGGTTAGGTTCCTCATAGGAAGAGGAGATTAGGACACAGACACATACAGAGGATAGACTGCATGAAGTCATGGGTAGAAGATGGCTACCTGCACACCAAGGGGAGAGGCCTCAGAAAGGAACCAAGTCTGCCGACAGCTTGACCTTGGACTTTTTCTCTTGGAGGAAAGAGATTCCTGTTGTTTAAGCCCCCTAGTCTGTACTTTGTTACAGCAGCCCCAGGAAACAGACATAGATGAGTTCGTCCAGGGTCTGGATGAGTCTGCGAGGTGAGGAGCTAGGATCAGCCTCAGGTTATTTGAGCCCCACATCTGAGCCCCCGATTGCCCCCTATAAGGAGAGCAGGCGGCAATGCCTGACTCAGGCGGCACCTGGGTGCTGGGTCCCTGAACCAGCCAGCATGCTTCTCTCCTTGTGTTCTGACAGCAGCCCAGGGCCCAAGAGAGGGTCACCCCCACCCCACCCTGCGGCTGCAGACTCGGGGAGGCCAGGACACTGAGTGGGGACTGGAGATGTCTCCCAGGAGCCTGTGAGAGTCCAGGGCACTTCACAGCTCTGCAGCGACTGGCCCTGACTCTGAATCAGCTGCTGGAAGCTGAGAGGTCAGAACTCAGGGCTGGGCTGCCACTTTGCAGGTCCTTACCAGGAGGAGACACCTGTAGCCACGGCAACCAGAACATGTTTTATACCTTCTGTCGTCTCCCCAAGTTTGAAAGCAGAGGGGCTGCCACCTCCCTGGTGGCCTGCTGATTGCCAGCCAGGATGCCTTCCTTGGAGTGCCGATGCGGGGAGCAGGGAGTAGGGGTCAGGGAATGGACTCCCAGACAAGTCCTGCATCAGTCAGAGCCTCAAATGGGGAAAGGGCTTGCCCAAGGACCCCAGTAAGGCAGAAAGAAAGCCAGGACAGGAAGCCACTACTCCATCAGCCACCCCACTGAGCTAGGGTTGACCCAAGAGAGAATCTTCTACCTCCCAGAACCCGAGGCCCACCCTCATCTCCTGGGTCTGCCACAGGGCAGTGGCAGGGATGTGCCTACCTGACAGGTTGGCGAGGGTCGTGACCGCGTGGCAGTACTGCTCCAGAAGTGTCCACAGGGGCTGGTCTTGGGATGCCCGACTCGACCTGGCCGCCTAGGGGTTCAGCAGGGATAAGGGTCAGGCCCAGGCTAGTCCCTGACAGCACCTACCTGTCTTCTTCCTTTCACCCTGTCCTGTCACTCATCCCTCACCCCTCTTCCTTCATTATAGAGAGGGGACCCTGAGGAAGGGCATGTCCAGGGCCACACATCGCCTTAGACACCATCCAGTGCAGCACCACCTCTGAGACAGGAGTCTGTCTGCCTGTCCCTCAGCTCCCAAGGCTGTCTCCTCCTGAGGGTGGAATGTGCCCTATAATCTGAGCCCTACATCTGAGCCTCTTCTGTTGACAAAGCCCAATGTGGAGTAGAGGTCCACCAGCTGTTTATTCACCCAGTAAATATTTGTAGAACACCTATTGAGTGTCAGGTTCTGGCTGGGAGACCCACTAGATGTCTTCAGGGTAGTCCCAGGACAGGTAGGCATCCACTAGACTTAGAAGGTATGAAAGGGGAGAGAAGAGCACACGATTTAACTCTGCTTTCCTGTCACACAGGTAAACAGATGCTTACAGTGAAGGACAGTAGGTTAGTACATGGGCAAGATGCCTAATCTGAACTTAGGAAGACAGGGAGTGTTTCCTGGAAGAGGGGAAATTTTGGGGGCAACCGAAAGGATGAGCAGGGGAAAAGGAAGGGACCACAGTGCTAGTTCAAGCACTCACCAGGGAAAAGATATGATTGTGGCAACATTGGCAATTCCATCCAAAAAGCAGAAACCACCCAGAATCCCAGCTCCTGAAAAGTCATCCGAGTGGGTGCTGGGTATGTAGGAATAAATTAGATGTGGTCATGTGTATGCTCGAGGGGAAGATGGGTGGGTGAACAGCTTTGTATTACACACAGTTTACTGATGAGGGTTGGGGTAGCATCATGGAAAAGCTTGTGCTGATATGGGATTTGAAGGGTGAGTAGGAGTTTGGCCAGTTAATAGGGTGGTACCAGGAAGGGCATTCTAGTTAGACAGCACGGCATATGAAAAGGCAGAGAGGCTGGAAAATGCATGGTTTAACACTGAACAAGAGCAAAGCACTCTAAAATTCTAGGCCTTATCCCCCATTCCTCAAGACCACCATTTTCCTGTGCTGTGGCCAGCGTGTGTGACTGCACAGGCTTGTGTGTCTGACTTTTATCACACACAAGCCCTGGCATTCCTGATTCTGGGATTCCAGAAGGCACTGCTCCACTAGCAGGCAACCCCTCCTTTTCCTCCTGCCTGTCCAATGTTCCCTCCCTGGCAGCTGGGTCAACGTTTGCCCCAGGATGTCCCTGTGGGCCAGAGCCCAGCAGCCCTCAAACATCACATTCTCAACATTGGACTCAGTCCATTTCCTGTGCTGGGACCTGAGGCCGCATGTCCGGTCTCACTGTGTTGGCCTGGCGCTTCTAATTAATGGCCCCACCTGGTCAGAGGGTGGAGCGCTGTTCCCTGAAGCCCCTCCCCGTAGCCTGGGCACTTACTGCACCTGTGTTCTGCCAGACTCTCACCCATGACACTGGTGCACAGAGAAATGCAGGGCGTGGGCATGTGTGTGTGTGTGTCTCTGTGTGTGTGTGTGTTCCTAGTACTCCAAGGGGACATTCTATCCTGTCAGCCAGGAGCTCTTGCCTCTTGGCCTCCAGGACAAACTCTGCTGCTCACATGTCGAGGGTGCACTGAGAGGCCCTCAGTCCTGGGCTCTTGGGCACCAGGAAGGCCTTGCTGGTTCAGCAAGCCACTTGCCAGGGGTTGGGTGGGCTGGGAGGGGCGGGAACACTGCATCTGGGACCTTCGAGAAGAATTCTCTGGTCCTGCTATCTGCTGGGTCTGGGGAGTGGAAGGCTCTAGGCCTGACCCACAGCCCCCTTTGCAGCCCCACGCCTTTGTTTGAGAAGCAGCTGGTAATGCCCTCCTGGGAGGGACAAGGTTGCAGTGAATTCCAGCCCCTGGAGGTCAGGACAGAGACTACCTAGAGTATATAGCAGCCGGGAGCTCTCAGGCAGAGAGACAGGCTTTGCATCTCACATGCCAGCTCCTTCTCCCAAAGCCCCCCAGCTGTGACATTTGTAGCCCCATCACTGGGGATGATCTCCAGTTTGGTCTCAGGGGGGCTCTGACCACGTGGGGTGAGGATATCCTCCCCGAGGGCTCAGGCACCTGGGCTGTCCTTGCCTCAGGTGCTGCCATCTTGGGCTGTGGTCCAGTCTTCTTGCTGAACACAGCACTTCGTGGTGAGCGGGCAGAGGGCTGCCACATCTGCACTGATGCTTGCTGTTTGGGCCTGGGTTTAATTTGGGCCGGGTAGATCAGAAGCAGTTTCTGGAATAACTCCCAGATCTCAGTTCCGTCTCCTGGAACTTCTCTGTTGGCCCCCAAAGCTGTCACAGCCAAAGATGTTCATTCTCTTCAAGGGGCTCAGCTCAAACCCTCAGCATATCCTGCAGGTGCCTGTTTTGGACAGAGCCCTTGGAGGTGGTAGGGATGGTGGGCAGGGAGGAGGAGGAGGAAAGGGAGGCTGCTGTCCTCAGAAAGCACATGGTCCTTTGGGCCCCAGGAGGGCAAGGATGCCTCATGAGGTGAGCGCCCAGAGGGCTAGAGTGCAAGCATCCTGTGCCCAGCCTTCTGGTGGTGCTGCTCCTTAGCTATGTGGCCTTGGCACAGCTGCTGAACTTCTCTGAGCCTTAGTCTTCGCATCTTTAAAATGGGGATAATACAAACCCCGTAGGACTTCTGTGTGCATTCAACAAATCATGTCACACAGAGGGCATGTACTAAACAGTGACTCTTGGCAAGGACTTAGGAGGGTGTCTGGCTAGAAGGCTCAGAGATGGAGGCTCAACTCTAGTCCTTCCCCTCCAGAAAAGCTTCCTGGAAATCCTGTGTCCCTCATTCCCCAGCTCTCCAGTCAGTTTGGACTGCCCTCGGGTCTTGATAGTCCTCTTGTGGACACGGGGGTCCTGGAGATGCAGTCTCCACTGCCCTCCCTGGACTCACCCCTAGTAGGGACGGGGCTTGTTTGTTGAGGAAACTGAAGGCCCCTGGGAGGACTGGGCATTGGAGCTGCCCCCCCTGCCCACCCTGTCCGTGAGACTGACTGCAGGATGCAGGAGCCCAGGGTCCACATTTGTGTTCCCAGTTCCTAATTCAGAGCCTGGCAGATAGTGGGTGCTCAGTGTTTGTTGACTGACTGACTAAAGGATGGGAGGACTTGGTCCATCAGCAGAGTGGATGGTAAGAAGAGGAGAACGTGACCCCAGGGCAGGTGCCAAGTGAGCAAAACTTCAGAAGCAGAAGAACCCAGGGCCTGCTCGGGAGACAGAAGCTCAGGTTTGCATGTGCTGTCCGGGTAGAAAGGAGAGCAAAAAGGGGGCGGGACTTATGTGAAGTCAGCACTTAGTGAGTGCTAAATGCCTTGGCTCTAAACACCTTACACAAAACAGCTGATTTAATCCTCAGTGTAGCCTCGGAGGTAGCTGTGAATAATCCCATTTCCCAGATGCAGCAGCCGAGGCCCTGAGAAGCAAAGTCACCTATGAAGACCACATCTAGGGTAAGGGGTAGGAGCCATACTCAAGCCAGACAGTCTGGCAGGCTATGGCTTGGTCAGGCACACGTGGGCAGGGTTGGTCCTAGGTGAGGGTGCAAAGGCCTGCAGGCCACAGATGCTGAGAGGACCCTGGCCGCAGATGGAAAAGCTTGTGCTGATATGGAGCCAGGGAGGCCGCTCAAGCCAGGAGCTCCTCTATTGTCACCGGGGAGTAGGATCTTGGAGGCAGACCCAGCTAACCAGGCAGGACCTTGGAGTCTACAGCCTAGGAGCCCTGGTAGACCCCATTGTAATGTAAGAAATACACAATATCTTTGGCCTCAGTCCCCAGTTCCTGACACAAAGCTCCTAACACCCTCGGAATTTCCTGGGTGACAGGAGCATCTTTTGTTCTAATGAGTTGATTCTTGGTGGCCTCCTGAATGGGATTGGTCACCAGAAAGACCAAGCCATGGTTAGAACAGTGTCAAACTTTCAGTCCAGCTTCTGTCCCTTCCCCCAAGGGCATGGCTGGAGGTTGAGTTAGTAATCGATGTGCCTAGATTGTGACATAAAAACTTTATCGATGGTACTGGGGAGTTTCCGGGCTGTTGACCCCCTGGAGGTGCTGGGGGGTGGCATACCCAGAGGGTGCATGACGCACCGTACCCCCTCCCCATAACTTCCCCATGCACCAATTCCCCTGTAGCCTTTGGAATATCCTTTATAATAAACTCATGAATATAAGTTTTCCTGAGTTTTGCAAAATGTTGTAGCACATTATAGAACCCAAAGGGAGGGTCTTGGGAACCCCTGATTACAGCCTGTTTGTCAGGAGTATGGGAAGCCTGGACTTGCAATTGGCATCTGAAGTGGAGGCAGTCTTGTGGGACCAAACCTTACCTGTGTGTTTGAGGCTGAATCCAGGTAAATAGTGTCAGAAATGAATTTAATTGGAGGCACCTAATTGGTGTCCCCAGATAACTGGAGAATTGCTTAGTAAAACAAAATCAAAACACACATTTGGTGTCAGAGGTATGTAATAATGTAGAAAAGAAACAGTGTTTTGCTTTTACAGTTATTCTCTCTTCTGAGGGGGACATCTTGGATTTCTGTACTGATCAGCTTTGAGCTGTCCCCCGTCCCCCGTGAGACTAACTGTAAGCTGCAGGAGCCCAGGGCCCGCATTTGTGCTCCCAATTCCTAGTTCAGATCCTGACAAATAGCAGGTGCTCAATAAATGCTTGTTGACTGACTGACTGGATGGATGGATTCATAAAACCATGGCCCCCTCAGGCAGGTAGAGCTACACCCCATCTCCAATTCTGGGAGCTCAGGGTCTGGGCTTTCCCTGCTTGTCCTATTTCCTTCTCTCAGAATTTTCTTTGAGGATCCAGGCCTGTGTGAGTATCCAGGTCCTGGTTCCAGCCTCTGTGTACCTGGCATGGGAAGCCCTCATCTTAGAAGGGAGCAGGGGAGAGGCCCTGGC